TATTCTATGAGTATCTAAACTGTCTTTCAGTATTATTTGCAGGGTTGGCTTGGTGGTCATAAATTTCTTTAGATGTTCTTTGTCATGAAAGTTAAAGATGCAACAGCAGGATATAACATGTCAATAGACTTGCAAGTTAATTGTCAATATAAAATGACTGCATCTGTGAGTGGATCCTTTTTGGCAATTAAGGTACACAGAGGCCAGACAGCATGGGCTAAAAGGCTAGGTTCAGTTGACAAGAAGCACCATGTAGGTTCCTAACCCATGTGCTTCTTGATCATGCAACACAGAATGTAATGGCTTAATATCCATAGAAAATCTCTCAACAGTCTTCAAAACCAAGCTATTGATATAGCTGGGCTTCTCCACATGAGAAAAGTCACATGGCACATTAGTTAACTAAAAAACTTTGTCATGTCTGAAAAATGTCACCTCTTACCCTTTCCCATCTGTTGTAGTCAGGGTTTGCAAGGAAAGAAATTTAATATGCAACTTACAATTGATAAGATTATATTAAAATATTTACTCCCAAAAAGTCAGATTTAGAGATGTGTAGATCTGTCCACATACTAGATACCTAAAGAATCCAGCTGACAATCTGAATCCTATGACAATATACTTTTTAAGTCTTGCTGAACACCTAGAGCCCATGGCAAGGACCACAACAAGTTTACCTGGAGACCTAGAGGAACTGCCAATGTCTCATGCAAATCTCTATCAAGGTTGTGTACTAGGAAGAGTCAAAGTTCAGTGTTGGAAGCTACAAAGTCTGTGCACTTGGGTGCAGCATGCGTGCCATCAGCCTGAGTGATCAGTACTGGAGCCAAGACAAAAAGCTCAAGTTGAGGGCCAGAGATCTGCACAAGAAAATAGTAGCAATGCACAGTATTAATGATGTCCTGAGATCCTACTCCTCTGATGATGATGATGTCTGTGTTCATATCTGGAAAACTGTGATACCAGCTTCTCCATGAGAATCAACAGCCCAGCACATTCCCCTCCATTTCTCCTTTGACGGTGTTTGCAAACCTTTCAATGAATGCTCTATGTCCAAAACCATGGTGCCACAGTTCACTGGGTGATCCAAGTTGACATTACGAAGTGGGCCACATCACCAAAGCAGATCTTTAGGTACTTAAATTTCAAAACAGACTTTATAGGGTGCTGAGGATTGATCTCAGTGGCATAAGCATCTACTTAGCAAGGTCGAGGTCATGAGTTTAATCCTCTGTACAAAAAATGGACATTATATAATTTCATATCTTAAAGTAGTCATCTGGTCTACCTCACATAAACAACATTGAGAAAACCTGAGGATCACTCAAATGTAATAATCAGGAACACATACCTCCAGAGATTTGTCCCCTCATTTGCCTTGACAAACCTCTCATGGGAAATATGTGGTCTCTTTCCTGTGTGTGTGTGTGTGTGTGTGTGTGTGTGTGTGTGTTACACTCTGCTTAACTGTGGGCATTTGCATCAAACTGTAGACAAGGTTACTGATTGTATAAGGCAATTTTAAAATCTTTTTGAAGGAAAGTAGAAAAACAAGCAGTTATATACATTTGTACACATAAGTCTCACTGCAGTACACTGAAAGCACTGAACCCAGGAGAGACTGTCATGAGGCTGGTCATATGCACATCACTACCTCAATAAGGTCACAGTGGTTATAGATGCTGGAGTTAAAAAGTGGAAATACTTTAACAACCAAAACAGTTGAAAAAAATACTGAATATGCATTTAACATACCTAATCTAAACTGGGCCTGATAGCATGTGTGTGTAAGCCACGTACTTGAGAGGCTGAGGCAGGTGAATTGTTTGAGAACCCTCTGGGTTATAAAGTGATCTTAAAGCCAACCTGAACTTCATAGCAAGATGTTGCTTCCAAAAGAAAAACAGAGATGTGACCCTTAATGGGAATGTGGTCTCCTTTGGTGTCACTGACCCACACGCCTAAGGAACAAACACACTGATGAACAGAGCAAAAATGAATATAGGCAATGGGTCAACAATCAAAACTCATTAGTAACAACAACAAAAACCATGATAAGATAAATGACTCAGTGAATTTTTTCAAGTGTATAATAAAGGATAAATAGTAATCACTTTTGGATTCTTCCTAGAAATTGAAGGGAAAGAACCAACACCAACGTCTTTTAGATGACAAAGTCACCCTGAGAATGAAGCCAGACAATAATGTATTGAAAAATAAAATAAAAAACAATTGAAAACACCCTACTGACCAATATTCCAAATGAACATAAGTAAGATTATTCAGCTAAATGCTTGTCAGCTAAATTTGCAAGCACATGCAAAATTTAAGCACCATGATCAACACTTGGCTCAATCTCAGTGATACAACTACCATCACACTATAAAAACCATTAAGCATCACTTGCCACTTTCACAGAATGAGACAGAGCTAACCCTTCAATAGATTGGGAAAAATAGCTTTGAGAAATTCCAAAGTTCAACATTTTGTCATGGTAAGAACTTCTCACACACCATGTATAGGAAGAATGGACCTCAGCACAGCAAAGATGATACATGAGAAGCCCATCCCTGACATCGTGCTCAGAGGCTGACAAGCTGCAAGATTTTCTTCTCAGATCAGGAACCAGACATAGCTTGCAGCAACTTTCAACACAGTACTCCAAGTTTTGGCCCTAGAATTTACTCAAGAATAAGAAATGAAAGGCTTCCAAACCAGAAAGGAAGAATTAAGCACTGTTTCTGTTTCATGAGGACACAAACTTTCATATAAGAAACTTACATCTCCACTGAAAACCTTTTAGAACAAATTCAAAAATCACATAAGGTGCAGGGTACAAGATCCACATGTCTTAAACAATTCATATCTATGTGCTTCAAACAAACTGCAGCTTCAAATACAAAGAATACAATTCATTTCACAATTCATCAAAAAGAATTAATTCTTAGGAAGAATTTAACCAAACTCACATGTTCTTTAAAATTTGTAGAAATTGAAGCAAGCAGTACAATAGCACTAACAGAATAAAACACATATCATGATGGTGGATGGGAAGAATTCATGTTGTTATAATGTACATGCTATCCAGATCAACCAGCCCTTTCAAAGCATTCCTGTCAAAATACCACTGATATTTTCCTAGAAATCGAAAACACACTATGAAAATTCACAAGGAAGTACAAAGTGTCATCCTCTAGCCATGTAAAGAACATTAAACATAGAAGCACAAAAATACCTGGTTTCCAAATATATTATAAAGTGACAGCAGTCAAAAGGGTCTTATACTGAAAGAATAGGACTGCAGATTAAAGTGACTAGCCCAAAGACAAACCAACTCATAGTCACCAGGAAGTTGGATTTGTTTCTTCATTCCATTCCTGTCCTTTCCTGTATTTTCCTTTTCTTTTTCTTTTCACGTTCTCCCTCTGTCGATCTGCCCTGAGCTGAAATCAGAGTGTGTTGCAGGCTTGTCTGGAACTCCCAGTAATCCTGCTGCCTCAGTGGCCTGAATGCTGACATTGCAGGTATTTTCACCATTCCTTGCTCAGCCAGTGAGTTTTTAATAACACCATAATGAAACCACGTCTCTTGGTGTGTCTTGTAATCCTATCACTCTGGAAGGCTGAGGCAGGAACATCATAAATTCAAGGATAGACTCACCAACTTAGCAACTCATTGAGAAACTCCTCAAAAAAGGAAGACTTTTGGGGCTGGGATTTTAGCTCAGTGGCATAAGTACTTGCCTTGCAAGTAGGAAATCATGAGTTCGATCTCTGTTACCAATAAAAACAAAAAAGACCAAAAGGAAGACTTTTAAAAGTGGAATGTAATGGAGCTAAATGCAAAAGCTCTGTATTCAATCTCTAGAAACTGAATGGAAAACCTTAACCATAACCAAAACAAAACCTTGGAAAGTAGAAGGGAAGGCAACAATGTTTTATCCTGGCCTGGCCATCTGGAGGGCAGTGCACCCCAAGTTGCTTTAACCTTCACATCTTTCTTGGTATTTGACACCAATCATCAATTTCCATGAGTGACCAGAGAAAAAGAGAAAGTGCTTCAGGGATACCAAGCCTCAGTCCCCCAGAAGAAGGCATTTGGAGTGATCTTCTGAAGCACATGGTGACCACAGTTACAGTTAAAAAGCAGTGACTCTACCAATATTGTTAATAGGATTTTCAGTCCTACTCATTGTAAAAGAAACTGCAGATTAGGAAGGTGGTAGATAGCTTAACTAGATGGATTCTTTCTACACAGAGTTTAAAGATCAAATTGAAATATTTTATTCCATGAATACACAAAATTACTGCCAATTGCTGACTCAGGATAATATGTACACCTGTAATCCCAGCCCTCTGAGAGGGTGAAGAAGGAAAATGAAGGATTTATGCCTAGCATGGGAAATGGAGAAAATTGGTGAGACCATGTCTTAAAATCATTTTAAAAATTACAAATGTATGAATTTATTGATCATTAAGAAATCTTAGAAATCACTGTGCAAGGTACATTAACCACTGCTATTCTACAATTATTTTTATTTTTCCATAGACTTAAAAACAGTATATGGTCCTTTATATATGGTCCTTATAATTATTTTTAGAATAGTACTAATCTCTTGATCAACACTAAATATAAATATAGGAGAGGTTTAAAAAAAATAATCAAATTCTTTTCATACTGAACCACCCAAATCCTAAGAAGGTATATTCAGTAGCATATCTGCAGTCATCTCGGTAAAACATTTGAAAAAAATGAAACAATGCAAACCTGGCAGCACATCAATGTCTACATGATGGTAAAGCTTATGCTAGGTGTGCTGACTAAAGTACACTTGCAAGAAATACATATGTTTTTATTCTGAATTCACAGGTGATATTTGACTGTGTATTTTTAATCTTTTTTCTTTTTCTCTTCTTTTCTTTCTCTCTTTCTTTCATTCTTTTTTTCCTGAGATTGGGTTCTACTATGCAATTGAGGCTGGCCTTGATCTTCCCTTGCAGGCCAGGATGACCTCAGACTTACAACAATCCCCTGCCTCAACCTCTGAGTGCTGAAATGACAGGTATGTAGCAACATCACTGACTGTGTTTTTCTTTTTAAATTTTCTCCAAAAAAATCTTCCTCAGAGTTATGTCATATTCTTATATTTTCTCAGGTTGAATATACAAAATCAAATCAGACACCACAGAAAATACAGTTGCAAAATCCTCACCAACATGTAACATAATGTAACATAGCATAGCACAGTACAGTATACCATAATAAAACAAAACAAAAAGCAACCACCTAACTCTGCTTTAAACAACTGCTTCCAAAGATACTTTAAGAATTTCTAAGTTATCCATAAACCAGTAATATGATCCAGTAATTTCACATTTAAGTAGTTTTTCTTTAAAATGAAAGTCTGCATCCACTCAAGCCCATATATAAGAATGGCTGTGGCAGCTTGCTTTCAAGGTTTGACCCAGAAACAGAAGAAATGGCCATCAGCAGATGAGTGAGGGGTGCATGAACAAGTCACAGTTGATTTCATTCAGGCCCCAATGACATGTGGTGGCAGCACACTGGGAGCCCAGCATGGAGACACTGCTTGAAGGAGACCAACCAAAGAGCATTTTGCCTGATCAGCCTCAGGGCCATCACCTCTAGGAAAGGCAACCTACCCAGCAGGGACACAAAGCCCACGGTCTATTTGGGATGGGAGGACAGGAAGTGATAGCAATGGCTATGAGAAAAGTTCCCCAGGAGTGACATGCATGTGTCCTTCCTCCGCATGGGGTGATGATGTCCATGGCCTTGGAAAGCCTCCCCTTGCAATCACCACCTGCTCTCCCCTCCACAGGACGTCAGAGTATGGAGCAACAGTATGTGGCTGAGTAAAACATCTAGGAATGAATAAGTAATCACTCATAGGCCCATGAGAATACAATTTGTTAGGAATCCTCATCCCCAGTACATGAGGAGGTTATAAAATGAAACATTTACATCTTTCAAGGAAAATTATTATGGGTATTCTGGGAACATCTCCATACTTCCTAATGGAATTGAAACAAAACTAACATAAGACCAGGAAAGAAACTCATCCTAAGATTTGACACATCTCTAAGTTAAGCCTAATTCTCAATGAAAAGAACTTTTTGGATGGAAATGTGCACTTGACAACGAGCCTGCCACTCCTTAAGCCATCTATGTGTTTGTTGTATGAAAAATTTCAAAGTGAAGAAAAGTGTAAAAACACACTCCATTTTCTAGTTTTTCACTTGCCATTTCTTTTTTCTTTCTTTTTTTTTTTTTGTCTTTTTCATTTTATTGGTACTAGGGATCGAACTTGCAACCACCTGCTTGCAATGCAGGTGGAGATTACCCGAAGAAAGAGTAGTTGCTATCATTGGAGAATAGACCAACTAAAATACAGGTATTGGAGTGGTGCTGTAGTGTGATGCCTTATGAAAGAAAAGTTGACCAAGGTCCCAGATACTTGTCAATTGTAGGTCTGATTATATATATATATATATATATATATATATATATATATGAAAAGCTTTTGACATACAAAAGTTAGAAACTCAGTTAAAATGAACAAATACTTAAATGACAATTCACTTGAAAACTTAGGGCAAAAAGACACACTGAACATCATTGGTAATCAGGAAATGCAAATAAAATGTCACTGAGATATCACATCATACTAAAATGGATACATTTGTAAAAGTTATCCTTACCAGAAGTAGTAATTAAAACTTTTAGAGCCAAAAATAAACAACTGTGTGGACTAAAAGATAATTGCCAAAGTATAAGGAATCAGTTAGTTTATATAAAATTTTGACTAGGTAATGCCTACCTGTGTAGATCATATTTTTTCCACCTTTGTGTAGAGAATTTGTATGAATTGACTTTTATATATACTTTTTTCTCTCTCCATATTTCCTTGTTATTCCAGAAAGCCTATGTGAGCCAGGTGAAGTAAGATGGTTGCTGCTTTTTTCTAATTTTTGCCAGTGGAAGTTAACAAAAAAATAATCTTATACTATGCATTTAGTTACATATTATGCTTCGGAAACCAAATTTAAATGCCAAACAAATACAGCATTTTCTACATGTTTACTGAACAATTCTATTGTTAATTCTCAAAAAGAGAACATGAACATGTCATTATCATGATATAGTTTCTCAAAAGCAATATGTTCGTGTAAGCAATAAACGTCCTCATCTAACCTCCAAACCTTGGGTACTGTTATCTATGCTGCCTGCTTGTTCACATCTAAATCTTTCCTGCCTCTTCCTTTGAAAGATAATCTCATTTAAAATTTTTGATTTATCTAATGATTAAGACTCTGTGACCAGGGTTAAGTCTCATATTAATATCTTCTCTTTTAAGTAAAATATATATTGAAGTAAATTTGAGTTTTTAAGTAGTCACAGATAAGTGCATTCGTATTTCCATAATGCTTGATAAATTCTTGTACTTTATTAGCTTTGTAAAACACTTGTATCATTTATTTATAAATAAGCTTAGTATATATCATATTATACCAAAAATTAATGCTAAAAATAAGTGAAAAGAGCATCCATTTTGTTCTTTTGTTACAAATATACTGTGCATGACAGTGTAACACTTTTCTAATGAACTTGGTTGTGATAAGTTTATAAAGGCAATAGTGCTATGTAATTTGGGAATTTTATCACTTTTTTGCATTAAAGTCATATATTTGTGTTTGAATGAGAAGAAAATGTGGATCACTTGAAAGGTGTTTCATTTCACCTATTTTGGAACACGATAAATTTCATTTTTGGAGCTATTTAATTCATAATTTCACACATAAATATGAGCAAAATTTGAATGTAATCATAAAGACTTGGAAGAGATTTAAAACACTAAGGCAAAGGTTAAGCAGTTAGTTGTTCTTAGACCAGTATTCTTTTAATAAAGGGGAGAGTCACCTTCGTTTGTCACTGATGCATTTTCAGACCCTGGACAGGTGTATTGGTTCTTTTCTATATCACTAACATACTAAGTCAGAAAGACTGTAGACTAAAGTAAATAATTAAACAAGGATAGACATAGAGCAAAGATAGAAGGACGAGAAGGAATATTTTTAATATTCTTTACAGATGTGACGATAATCATTGACATTTAAATATTATTGAAATATTTTGTATATTTGAGGGAATTTAAATTCATATTAAAATTTTAGCAGTAGCAAGATGATATAACACTTAATGTGTAGTGATTGGCTGGGAAAGATAAGTTCTGAATATTGGATTTTTTTCTCTTTATATTCTTAAATACTGAAATGTGTGATCAATCTGTAAGTTGAAACTTGCCATTTACCTCTCCACAGTGGCATTACATACATTTTCCCAGTGATTCTTCTGAGTCCCTCATCCTAAGATTACTCATGTTAATGTTTGTAAAATTAAAGTTATTTTGCCTTCCGTCTTTGTGAGACTCTGCCTCCCCCAAATTTGCTATCAAATGATACTTCATATACAGGTCAGAGATTTAATCATAAACAACTTTAAAATATTTTAGTTGATCGCTATTGCTCCTGGCTTATATGATTTTATGATATATGTATATAAATTGATGTAATTGTATTTGTTTATCACATTATACAGATTATATGATTCACATATAGATATACATAGGTATATATAAATATACAAAACTGCACATGTACAAATAAACTTCGCCTTGCTTTTTGCACATGGTTTCATTATTTGTGTCTCTTAAAAATAAAATTTTGATTTAACTTTGTAGTTATTTCTTCCATAGCTCTTACAATCAAATATGTGTTATAGCCAAATGGAGTTACTATTAGCTTTCTGGATACACTTCACTGTAATGGGTAAATGTTTTGTACTAAAGGTTTGTCAACTCAGTATCCCATGTAGCTCTTCTCCAAAGTTCTCCCCAGATAACAAAACTATAATACTATAGTTGGATTTTCCTTGACTATACGGATATTTATTAAGCTGAGTGTTTAGTGGGTCTGTAACATGCCAAATCTTAGAATGTGAACGTGAACGTGAAACAAGTGGATGTGAAACAAGAGCTGATGACTGCTGCAAACCCTGATTTTCTCTGAAGCCTCCTCACACAAATCATTTCTGTGGATTCCTCTTTTGTATTTTTCCTACAGTTAAAACTCACTAATTTATGAGTCCCATGACTTTGCCAAAGTCACTACCCTATCTGTGCCCCATTTCTTGGCTATTTTATGTTTATTCTTTACATCTGCCATTTTCTTAAACGTGAGATGGTGGGAATGTCAATTACTTATTTTTGACAGTATTTTCAATGTTTTTATTTTTCCATGAAATAAGTTGTGAAAATCCAATGTATTACTTAGTTGGTATTCAGTCATGAAGTATGATACATTTTACAGAACACTGCTGGTATGGATTAGAATCATCTAGTGGAATTGCTGATGAATTAGAACAAATTATTTTTAATGGTGTATTCAGCTTTTAACTTGACTAAAGGAATTTATAATTCTTCTCTTTATATGTATATATTTTTTATCAATACTTAAAAATTTTTTCTGAAGGTTATGAAAAAAATTACCCAGATGATAGGAAAACATATTTAAGGTTAAGTAGATTCAAGCTCACATCAAACTGATATAACTTTTTTCAAAACCTGGATTTGGCAAGATGTAACTGACTGCAGGGATTAGCCATGTGCCAAAATCCCTGTGCACTGAATTTTTATTTTTAGGAGTACTATAAAACACTGGATCTCAAAGTTCAGTGGACATTAGAGTCATCTAAAAAACTTGTTCAGGCACAAAGAGATTGAATTTTTCTCCACAGTGTCTGAGTCAGCATTGTTGTTGATTTCAATCTGTTAGAGAATCATGTGTAATCAGTGAGGAAAAGCTTTATAATATCAAGAGGTATTGAAGACCAGTCTAAATGTTTCAATGATGCTTTATTCTCTGATTAGACAACAATATGAAATTCTTCTTTTTCTTTATTTGGGCATGTGGATTAGGAATTTAGCAGGAAATATATTTCAAAAATGAAGCCCTGTAGACTATTATACTTCATATCATTTTA